CGGCTGAGCACCTGCGAGTCCTGGACTTGCCGCTCGCAAGCCCCGATCTGGCCCGGCACGCTTTGCTCTGTGCCTGCCCTCAGCTCCGGCGACCACAGCCGAGCACTCGCCTGCACGCGCGTGGTTCCCTTGCTTCGTCGCATCAGAAGTCACCAAGTGCATAACCCTTGCTGTTCCAGGTGCCAGTGACGTTCAATGACATTTCGGTGTACTTCAACGAGCAGGAGTGGGAGAGACTGGAGCGCTGGCAGAAGGACCTGTACAGGGCTGTGATGAGGGGGAACTACGAGACGCTGATCTCCCTGGGTAAGTCACAGGGTTCACGCCATGGGATGAGCTGTGCTCACGGGTAGGCTGGGTCACAGCCCAGCCGGGGACCTGGTTCGGTGGGGCCGGACGCCTGCAGCTGGCGGGACCCCTCCTGGGCAGCCAGACCCAGGCGTTTCCCTCCTCTCCGCTTGTAAAGCGATGAACAGCGTGAGAGAGGTCTGTAGGAAGCAGCAGTAGCGATGTGGCACAAGCAGTGTTGATTATAAAAAATACCCACGCGAGAAGCTCATCCTGGTGACTGCGTAAGTGATCCCGGGGTCAGGGAAGCGCCGGGATCCTGCAGCAGAGGTCAGGGATTGTCTGGGTGCAGTTTGAGAATTGCACCTCAGGTTTTTCCTATTTAGCTCCCATGGAAGGGACAGGGACGTTGCTATGTACCTCAGTGAAGACCTAACCTAATCCTGCGCCGTCTTTCCAAGGGCACCGGGTGTCTTCTGGGATGATTTGGGCTGTAAGAGCTCCCCCCCCACCCCTGAAAGTGGTTTCTCGGGTGTGCTCAGTAACCTGCTGCCCTCTGCAGATGCTGAAGCTGAGGCTTCGCTTTTCTCAACAATATCTTGTAGAAATGGAACCAACCCGTCCCTCTCGTGGGCCATGCGACACGGGCATCCCTACGGAGCGGAAAGGTTTCTGTCCCTGCTCCGGAATGATGGCTCAGCAGAGCTGGCGTTGAAACGGGAGGAAAATGTGAACTCAAATGGGATTTTAGTTCATGTTCTGCTATTTTAGATGCTCCGCCTGGAGCACGGGCAGTCTCTCTGTGTCTGCCCTGCCTGCTGGCCAGGGGGTGAGGGAGAGAAGGGTCGCTCGGAAATGTTTGGGAGTTGGACAGAATGAAGCCATAGCCAGTTCCTAACGACACACCCCGTCCTCTGCCCCGCGAGCAGACTACGCTGTGTCCAAGCCTGACGTCCTGTCCCAGATCGAGAGGGATGAGGAGCTCTGCATCCGAGGTGCCCAGGAGCCCCCACCGACGTGCGTCCGAGGTGCCCAGGAGCCCCCACCGGCGCGTACCAGCGAAAGTCAGGAGCCCTCACAGGCGCCAGAAGAGATGGACCAGATGGAAGAGGCTCTGGGAGAAGACGAAGCCCCCATGGAAGCTGGCACGGGTGAGTTGGGTGGGGGCAGGAGGGGGTGGCCGTTCCTCTCTCAGCTCTGTCAGGAGATCTCCCAGCCGTGTCTTTGCTGGAAATGAATGGCTCCCAGGGTCTGGTGACCGTATTGGCTAAACCTCCACAGCGCTGCCTTGAAGCTTTCTCCCAAGAGGGACATTTCTGCTTGGTCAGATGAATCCCGTGGAAAAAAACCACAGGAGGGTCAGGAGGGGCTGGGCTGGTGATCCCTCCCAGTCCTCCTCTGTAGCTGGGCAATCCTTCTTCACCTGATGGCACACGTGAGCCCTAGGGCTTCCAGAGCTGCTCCTGCTTGCCTTGGGAGAGGGACGACATGGTGGGAAGTGAGGAATCTGGGAAGGCGCAGTGGGAGGAGGAGGAGGAGGAGGCTGGAGCAGCCCTGCTAGTGTGAGCAGAAGCGGTCGTGCCTTGGGGCATGGCATGGGAGAGCTGGAAAAATCGATTGCGAATGCGAAGGCAGGGCAAGAAAGGAAGGAGGTGCTGGAGAGGGACAGGCAGACCCCGACAGAGCCATGGAGAAGAAGAAATGTGCGGACAGAGCTGTGATCGAGAGCTCGTCCCTGCGGGATGAGGGGCTGGGGGCTAAAGAAGCCCCAGGAGAGGCCGGGTGAGCGCTGGAGGGGGCACAGGGCAGGGCAGGCTCTGTCCTTTGGGGAACGTGACCCAGAAACAGTGTGAGCCCCAGGTGTGGGTTTGGGGTTTGGTTTGTGCCGTGCTCCCGGGAAGAGAGGGAAAAGAGGTGTGTAGGCAGGGGCTCTCCCGCCCCTTTGAGACTCGAGTTCGTGTTCTGTTACTTGGATTTTCTCTGTGCTTGAGCTGCGGTCGCGCCAGGGTGGATCCTGCCCCAGGGCCAAGAAAGCAACAGCAGCTTCCTCGTTAGAGCAGGGGTAATAGATCTGTGTGTGTGTGTGCTGCCCGCGAGCTGTGGGGTGAGGGAGAGAAGGGTCGCGCTGAGAGTTCGACAGAACGGAAGGGCAGCCAGTTCCAAATAAAACACCCTGTCCTCTGCCCCGTCAGCAGGCTCTGCTGTGTCCAAGCCTGACGTCCTGTCCCGGATCGAGAGGGATGAAGAGCTCTGCGTCCGAGACAGCCAGGAGCCCCCACAAGCAGGCGGCCCTGATGGCCAGGAGCCCCCACAGACACCAGAAGAGATGGACCAGAAGGAAGTGGCTTTGGGAGAAGATCAAGTCCCCATGGAAGCCGGCACAGGTAAGTTGGGTGGGTGCCAGCAGGACTTGGGAGCATCGCCAGGGAAAAGCAGAAGCCTTGGGGTGCGGCATCAAGGTGCTGCCAGGGAAAATGGAAGGGGTTCAAGGGCCTGAACATGAGGCGATACGGGAATACTACCTGCAGAGTTGGTGGGGAGGGCTGAGGAGGGAGGAGGTTGCACTGCAGACGCGACAGCGTGCGGCCCCTCAGTGCTTTTCCTCCCAGCCCTCCCTCTGCTTTTGGTCCTTGTGTGTGGCTTCGCCCCAGTTTCTCCTAACGCTTCGCGTGCTTTCCATAGAATCCCAAATGGTTTGGGTTGGCAAAGCCCTTTAAGCTCCCCCAGCCCAACCGTTCCCCTACCCCTGCCATC